CTACTTGGCAGTCTGAAGGACTGTATCGTTTTAAAGTTTATGCTCTGTCCTAGCTCAGAGTGACTAGGTTCAGAGAATGAGTCAGCTGGTTTGAAGTGGAGGACATCATGTGAATTTCCACAGTTGTGACCAGGTGTCTAGAGATGAGAGAGAGAGAGAAGGGACCAGCTGGTCTAACATATAAAGAGTCATGTAGACCCCTGTGCTTATGGCTGGTACCCCTTGACCTGGTCTTGGATGGCTAGAGATGAGAAAGTAACACTTGGAATGGTGGGTAACAAGGATGGAGAAGTGGGAAGGTGAGGCCTAGACCCATTTCTAAGTGGGACTTGGATTCATGCTGATCCTTACCATGCGGTTAGCAATGAAGGTGGCGTTTGCCCACTATGCCTCTTGCTTAGTGCAAGGATGCATACTACAACACTATTTATAATGGCAAAGAATGGAGACAATCCAGCTATCTATATAAATAGGGAACTGGGAAAGAAATTATAGCCATTCACAAAACAGGATATTTAAGCAGCCTGTGTTAGGCTAGGTTCTCTAGAGAAGCAAAACCAGTAAAGCTTATATAGAGAGAGAAAGAGAAATTTATCTTAGGAAAATGGCTCACACACTTATAGGAGCTGTCAAGTCCCAAGTTCTTGAATCAAACGTCAAGCTGGAGGCTTTTCCTGACTCACACAGCTACAGAGGCTGATGAACTCAAGGTTGGCAGGCAGTATAACAGCTGTTGACTCCAACAAATAATGACTCCAAGATCTCCAGGCCAAATAGTGGGTCATTTGCTCATGGACAGTTGTAGGCAGCACAACAGGATCTCGATCCACAGAAGAGTGTCTCTTTTCCCAGGATGTCCATAAATATATTGGAAGCAGGCCACACCCCTAGGGAAACTCCTTTTCAATGGATTGGCTGCTCAAAACATATACATCTGATCCCATCACGGGAATAACCCACATCACAGTTGCTTAAACAATACAGAATTGTGGTCCACCCAAGTTAACACACAGCTCCAGCTGTCATACAGCCATTAAAAACAATGTAATAGAAATATTTCTGAGATATATAATCAATAATAATAATAATAAAACAGGTACAAAAAACTATGAACTCATTTGGCATTTTTTTAAAATATCTAGAAGGGTACAAGAAATGGATAAAAAATAGTTACTTACTGTGTATGGGATTGGTGGGAGAGAAGACTTTTCATTTTATGTATTTGAATGTTTACATGTACGTATTTTCCAATTAGTAAAGGTAAAAGAAAAAATAAACTGAGAAAAATTATCTTAAGAATGTAATTAGGAAAGTGATTCTTCTCAGGAGAGTTTATACACCTATAAAATATGTAAATTATGTGATGTTTTAAGTTAGTGAGAAAAATTATTCCTTCTCTAATATTGGTAAATTATGTACATTTATATGAAATTTGGAAACAACTTACAACTCTTCAAATGGTATAATATAAAGATGAAACTGTATTGTTTTTAAAAAATAAGTTAAAACAAAGAAACACCAGAAAAATATTTATGTACCATGGAAACAAAATTAGCTTCAAATATACATTGTTATTGTTAGGTACTGTTGGTCGCTTCCAACTCATAGCGACCCTATGTACAACAGAATGAATTACTGCCCATTTTTTCACCTTTCTCACAGTTATTGCTATCCCGGAGCCCACTGTTGCAGCCACTGTGTCAGTCCATCTTGCTGAGTCTTCCTCTTTTCCGTTGACCCTCTATTTTACAAGTGTGATGTCCTTCTCCAGGGACTGATCCCTCCTGATAACATGCCAAAAGTACTAGAGATGAAGTCTTACCATCCTCACTTCTAAGGAGTATTCTGGCTGTTACCAACACAGATCTGTTCATTCTTCTGGCTGTAATTCTTCCAAGACAGAATTGCTCGCTGTTCTTCTGACAGTCCATGGTATATTCAATATTCTTCACCAGCACCATAATTCAAAGGCATTAGTTCTTTGGTCTTCCTTATTCATTGTCCAACTTTAACATGCATATGAGGTGACTGACAATATCATTGTTTATGTCTGGCTCACCTTGATCCTCAAAGTGACATCTTTGCTCTTTAACACTTGAAAGAGGTATTTTGCAGCAGATTTGCCCAACTAAATACACATTAGCCCTTTGATTCTAAAAATAATCTGTGTTTGTAACACTTACTATGTTTCTTGGTCTTTTTGCACTCACCATATTGAATTCTCACAATAACACTTCAGGGTTGATAATTTCAGCCCTAATTTTCAGATGAAGAAGCTGAGGCTGTGCACATTAATCAGTTTGCTCATAGTCATACAAATAATTAAACAGTGGAGAACCCTGGGCAATTCACTCTGTCTGCCTTGCTACTCTGCTTTCTTCATTCAAGGAAAAGCTAAAGACAAAGGCAGAGAAAATCTGGTCACTGAACCTTGCCTTTATCTATTTCTTGTGTTCTGCTACTACCTATGCTTCCTAACTGTCATATGTCCTAGAAGTAGAGGAGGAGAATAATAAATTTAAAAAAATGGGAAAAATGCAAAAAGAAAATGAAGGAACAGGGTTAACCATGAGAAAAAAGGGTGGAAAAAAAAAAACAAAAAACCTTAAATTAAAAAAAATAATAATAATAATCCAACCAGGCACTGGGAAAAGAAAAAAATGCTGAAAA